ATCCTGTTTTCTCTTAATTGAAAAATGTATTTTTCCTCTAGATTCATTTAAAAAAAAAAAAAAAAAAAAGTTGTTTTAAAGTACATCAAGCACAATTACCCTTCTTAATGGTGGAAAAAAAAAATGAAATGGTAGTGATTTGTTGACTCAGAGCAATAAGCATCATGTGTGTTCAGCCATTTTAGACAATCATAATAACTTCTCTGACCATATTCTTGAGAATGACATAGAGGAAATCCTGAAAAAAAAAAAAAAAATTCTAGGAGCAGGGAGATTCCACAGAGCATTCTTTACTAACTTTTAAACTGGACAAAAATCTCCATTTGCACCAGATGATATGAAACGTTCTAGGTCTTATTCTGTGGTGTATTGAATCCAGCTGTGGATGTGTGCCAACACTTTGTGTAAAAATTGTAAATATTTATCAGATGAAAAGTGGTGCCAGTGAGCACCTATTGCTCCTATGGAGCAATGCAGGACTCTTTCCTCTTGGTCCTGGCTATGGGGGACTCTTCTTGGTCCCATGTGTGTTGGGAAGGAGGACGTTTTGCCAAGGTGATGCCTTCTAGAGGTCTTCTCCAGGATTTTGGCTATGTGGGAGCAGTAGTGCTGTGATCTGCGACACAGCCAGAAACAGCAAGTGGGTGCATGGTACTTCCACCTAGTAAGAAATTAATAGAAATATGGCCTGCTACTTAATTCTGTCCCTTGTCAGTCAGTCACTTGTCAGCTTGTCTGGATCAATAGAAAATAATGATAAAAAATGTACACTCTTTAATAGGGATCTATATTCCTTCTTGAGAATGCAGAGAGATCATTTAAAAAATCAATGAGAATGTTATTATTTGTTATTAAATCTGTAAAGGTTTAGAGTAATTCTTATAGAATTCTATTACAGTTTTATCAAGACTTATTGATTTTTATCTTATTAAGTTATAGAGTACTTTCCCCAGAGGTCAGTTGGTGTGGCACATCGGTAAGGTATACTGTTTCTCTTTCTGAGCCATATATATTGTAGATTTTGACTGAATATTCCCTTTGAAATGCTCTATTAATTATGAGTGAAACTAATACACATAGGTTTACAGGAAAACAGGTTTAGCTTGTACGTACCTAAAATCTAAGTGTACTTCCTGAATTTTCTTCTGACCCATCCACATGAATATCTTCCATAGGAAATTTCATCCCAGGAGCGCAGAAATTGTGCTGTCCCTTCTAGAGACCACGCAAGAGAAACATTTGTAAGTTGTTAATTTATCATTAATTAAGTAGAACAGCTGTTGCAGGACAGTTTTACTAAATGATTTCCCTAAAACGTGGGAAACTCCAGGTTAAGTCCCTGCTTTAGCATAAAGACAGCAGGAGGAGAGCGGGGGTCTCTGCCATCGCGGGTCGGCTCTTTCCCTGCAACTTCACGCAGTTTTATTCTGGAATATTCTGAGGGCTGGACAAGCCAATACTGAGTATGTGGAGTTGGCTCGCCTGTTCAGCAGCACTGAAATCCCCCACCGAGGCTCTCCCCGATGCCGGCTCGGTGTTCTGCTCGCAGCGTTCCGCGGTTTGGTTGCAGCCCTTCGGGTGCCGGCTGCCGACCGGGCAGCGCGGCGTTGGCTCGGCACGGCTCGTTGCGTGGGGTTGCCAGAGCTCCGAGGCACCCCGACAGATTTGTTGCAGGAGAGACCTTCACAGATTTTTCTAGTGAGGCTGCAGGTAAAATTTTCACGTGCTTTCAGCCTGTTTCTGGAAAACCCCAATACTTCTGTTTCTGGTTTGATTTTTTTGGGGGGGCGGGGAGATGAAAACGTACCATGTGTCTTAGGAGCAGTGAGGTTCAGATGCGAGTCCTGAACAGTAGACTCAGAATTAGGGAAATATATATTATAGTTGGGTCAATAGTACACAAAGCTAATACAAGGAGACAGATTGACCTTACTCCCAATCTTCTTTATTATTTGAAAACATCTGTTTACATGCTGTCTATTTTTATCCCATAGTGGATGGATTGCTATGCTAATTTAACGATGCCATATGGTTTTCTTCTGACTCAATTTCATTGTGTGGAGTGCCAGATTGTGTCAATTTACCCACCTATTTCAGTGAGAGAAATTGTTGGCTATGGTGCAAGGAACTTTTTTCTCTCTTTCAATGGAAGATGTATTTACTGTTATTTCTAACTGCAAAATCAAAAGGAACCATGTGGTTGTGCAGTATAGAAAGATGGATGCTCCTGTGTTTCCACCCTCTTCTGCAATGCTAGTACAGGCTGTAAAGCCAAGTAAAGAGATAAAATAGATATTCTGAGATTTGCATCTTCAATGGATTTGTATTTTTTGAATGGCAGATAATTTTGAGAGGGGGGGGAGGAGGTAGAGATATCGGGAGCAGAGCTGAGCCCGGGAAGAAGGGAGGGGTGGGGGGAAGGTGTTCTCAAGATGGGGCAATGCTTCTCACTGTCCTACTCTGTTATGTGTTGTTAGTGTCTGTAATAAATGTATGTTCTTTTTTTTCTTCCCCTAACGAGTCTGCCTTTTGCTCGTGATCATAAAGGGGAAATTTTTCCCCATCCCAGTCCTATCTTGAACCCCAAGCCTGGCTCTCTGTCCCTTCTCATTGCCGGAGGGGAAGGGAGAGAGAGCTGCTGCATTGTGGTTGGTTGCCAACCAGGCCTAAACCACGACATTACTTCTGAGCTTTTCGGTGAGCAACCGGCATTTTCAAGTCCTCTTGAAGATTGATCTGCTCTATCCAGGTTTCACACTTGCGTAGTTTGAATGCTTCAACAACCTTCTTGGTAAAAGAAAAAACTCTTTTGTGACCTGAACTTTGAACGGGGATTGCAGCTCTGGAAGGCTACATTAAAAATACTGAATCTAAACTCTCCGGAAGAGAAAGCACTGATGTTGCTCATTGTAGGTTAAACACAGATAACTAGAAGGACTTGGGAAAACTACTCAGCACTACTAATAGTGGTGAATATCCCGTTTGAATATGCTTGTTAAAAGACTGATAACTCTCTGAAGAGAAGGGGCACGGAGGGACTGTCAGATTTGGGAAAGCCTCTAAAACGAAGCAGGGATTCCGGCTGCTGGGAGCCTGTAGCCTGGCTAAGGGGGTGGAAAAGCTATTGCCTGTCTCGTGACACCTCTGGTGCAGGGGGTGCAAAGCTTTTCCACGGGATACGCCAGGAACACCCAGCCGTGTCCCGCCGTGCGCTCTGCCTCCCGAAGAGATGAGGGAATACAGCTTCTGCCGGCTACAGAAAGGAAGAAGACAAAAGACTTTGCATACGAGCGCGTATATACTCGTCCTCGTGCAAATCTTTTGTTTGCCAGGCAAAATCAGAAGTATCCTGGGTGAGTACACAGAGCTGTTGGGGATGAGGGGGGTCCCCGCTGGTGATGGGGCCCCTCTCGGCACAGCGGGCTCTCCCCAGCGCAGCCACCGCCCCAGTAAAGGTCCCAGTTGTGCCAGTGCTCGGGGCGTGCGGCTGCTGGTTTGCGGCTGTGGGTGTGCACAGGGGGGTCCCGAGGAGCGACCTCAGCTCGGAGAGGGAACAGCAGAGAGACGCATGAAGCGGTAGTGCCCCGGGCAGCAAGTGGCATCGTGTCCCCTTGGGTCTACGGCTGCGGCGCTGGCTGCGAGAGTGAGTGTGCGAGCTCTGTGTTGTACCGTGAGAAACATCCACGGCCGTGAGCGTCAGCTTTGAAGGGTCTTCTCTGAACTGGGAAAGGATATTTGGTGCGGTTTTAAACTACGGAATTTGAAAACCTGGTAGAGAAAATCCCTACACTATGGCAGGGCTAATTTGTGAGCAGAATTTATTAAACGGTATAATTTTGTAGGAGAATTTTGATTACTTTTTTTAATTTTCCCTCCTGGTTTGTAAGCCTCTAGATATACCTTTTCTTTAATCATTATACACATGCATGTGTGTGTTTGTATATATACGTGTGTGTTTGTATATATGCATGTGTCTATACAGTGATACACACTCTGCAACAAAATAAATAAAGCCAAAGCAAAATATGTTTCTCTTCTGGCAAGTTGGTGAGGTGCTACAGGGAAACCAAATACAGTTAAGAGCCGTATGAAAACTATGAACTAGTCGCTGCTATGCAGCTATTTAGTAGTTGTTATGTGGTTATTTTCAGTGAATAGAGGACTATGTCTCTTCAAAAAAACACAAAAAAAACAAACAAACAAAAAAAAAAAAAAGAAAAAACAAACAAACAAATAAAAACACTCAGGGGCTTCAGGTATTTCTACTATCCTTCAACTGAGCTGTTAAAAAATTATATTTTTCCCCCATTATGTTAATACTGGAGTTGTATGCCATTTTTACTCTTGCAGCGCTGCAAGCTGTTTGTGGCTACGTGGCTTCAGTAACAAACAATCTCACAACTTTTTTCTCCCCCCTCCACCCACTACTTCAGGATGACTAATCCCAGCATCTGGTAAATCACAGTGATTCACAGTTATCCCTTAGAAGTTTTGGTCTCTGAATTTATATGTACCTTTGTGAATGGAAATTAAGAGAAAAAAAAAACAAGCTACAAAAATATTAAGGTGTACGGATAATGGCCGGTTTAGATGAAACGGCTTCTCTGGAGATCTGAAGAGGTTAATTACAAAATTAGTTGTATTAAGGTCAGCCTAATATCAGCTGCACACTATCATTTTTTTTTTTTCATTCCTTACTGGTATATATCTAATCCATGCTTTTTTCTTATAACTCTTTTTTTATATTAATCTCTGTTTTCCTTGTATCTCACCTAGCTTTATACCTCACAGTTAGTAGCAGACTAATTTACTTGCAGGATGTAGCTGATTAGATAAAGCATGCAACGGACTTCCCTTCTTTCCACAGTCATCTCGCGTGGATAGAGATGTGAACGTGTGCTGGGTACTGAAGATACCAACAGAGGATTTGTTTTTCGGGCTGCGGTACTTCCCGGGCAGTACAAGCTAGACTTCAGCTTTCTACCTGTCTCATTCTCCAGGATTCGATGCCTATTTTACCTCCCGCACCCTGGAGAACAACAGAAGGAACGTGTGGTTTGCAGAGTACTGGGAGGAGAACTTCAACTGCAAGTTGACCATCAGTGGGTCAAAGAAGGAAGACACGGACCGTAAATGCACAGGTAACTTCATTCGCTTCACCCTCCTCGTGCTGCTGGACGCGGGCGGCAGTGGAATGTCTGCACAGCTGATGTAAGGAGGCTTGGCTGGAGACAGATTGAAAAAATAAATTGAGTTTTTGTAGGTTGTAGAGAAAATGGAACAGCAGCATCAGCCACGCAGGACAAGAGAAGTAGATGGAAAGAGTAAAAAGAATATATTCTTCTATTTGTTCCTTTTTCTGGCTGTCCATCTAGCAGGGAAATCAGTATTGTCCATGGGACCCAGAAGTGTTTTTGTTTGAGTGCAGGGTGGCATGATGTTTTTTGTTAGTTTTAGATGCAGAATATTTCCACAACTTGTGCCATCTGCAAATCACAAATTGGCCATCCACTTGTCAAAGCACCGTCTGCTCACGGTCACATACTAAACACGTGCATTTGGATTTAACTTTTGGTGGAAATGCACCTGTAGGAAAGTATTAGCACAGAGTGAAATGTTTTCATTTCAGGTAGCATAAAGGTGTTGATCAGATTTTTCTTGTCACTAATGTTGTTTAAGAAATTGGGGTTAAATACATTTTTGCAGCCTCAACTCAGTAACATTGAAAATGCACTGTCTTGTGACTGAGGTTCCTGAGTTTTAATAGCAACTTGTTTGACCTCTGTTATTTTCTGGTGGCTGACAGATTCACTCCTCTTTTCCTTTTAGGAGGAATTCCAATTGAAATATCCCATTTTTTCCAGGAATTCCTGTTTCTGATCACATGGAGATTCAGGGAATTATTTTAGTTACAGAGATGCCCAAGTGGCAGTGGGGGCCATTGCATTTTTGAGTTATGCACTTCTCAGCAGAACCATCTTAATGGTGTGGGGGGATACAGTTCTTTGAACTTCGAGTGTTTGTTTTGAAAGGAAACAATGGGGAAAACGCGTGTTCTTGGAGTTACTCAAACTTGACCGAGTGCTGCCCGATGATCCACGGGGGCAAGAGCAGCATTGCCAGTTTAATGGTCTTGTGCTGAATTAAGGTATTAGATTGAGGGCACTTGTCTGGGAAAGGATTTCTAAAAGTCAAGAACACAGGGAGTCTGCCCTCGATCTGCCAGGTCCCTGGCAAGCCTGATTTTGTAGCGTGAACCTCTGTAGCGTGGGGTTGGGGCATTTGCTCAGGGTGTAAAAAGCAGTGGGCAAGCTTCAGCCAGAACGCATTTCCTGGGCCACATTTGGTAAAGCCAATAATGCCATCCATCTGCCTCGCCCCTGCCTCCCATCACCTTTCCTTCCCTCTCCTTTTAATTCTTCCCAGCTTAAATGTGGTATGTTGAATAATTGCCTTGAATTTTGATCAAAGGGAATTAGTTCACAGGAGGATATGTTTTACTTTGATTGAAAATTGATGAACACTTTCCATATTTCATATCATCTGCTTCTGGTTTCAGTTCATGGATGGGAGTAGGAGTGTTGTGCGTAGAAACAGTGCAGTTACCAGTGGGAATACACTGCTGTTAAATTTGGCATTTGGAATCTCCCCCGAAGGCTGGAATTTGACTAAAAATTGCTAAAAGATCTTTAGGATGATTTCTAAAAGTGTCTTGTCACCCTTATTGTTTATGCCATTATTTTACTGCCACTGCTCACAGCCTGTGCTTTCTCATGTGAACATAAAAATGGCATTCTGCCTTCCCTCAGCATAGATTCAGCAGAACCATTTGTTTTTGACGCTTAACCTACCCTATCGAACTGAAATGCTGCATTATAGCTCGATATTGTACCAAATGACACGCCCTGACATCTTCCTCCCCCTCTTCTACAAACCGAAGTAAATTGTGCATCAGAAAGAGCATTAGCTTTGAATTATATTGCTGGTATGAGAGTCGTAATGTCCCACCGATGTAATAATATTATGAATGATCATCATCATTATTTTAAAATTTGATTGGTAATTTGTAATGCAGCGAGGTAGTATGCCACAGGCCATCGGTTTCTGACAGCAGTAGTGCTCCCGAGCCCCGGCGTGAGGAGCGGGAGGCTCATGTTCTGACCGAAATGCTTGCAGGGAGCAGCTGGCTGCTCCTGGCCACAGACTTACGAGCAAGAAGAAAAGCTGCTCCGAGCAGGCACCCTGTGGGCAGTGTGCCTTTTCATATCGCAACTTCTGGAAAGGTTTCTGCGTGCAGAACTTCTACATCAGTGTCGTTTCTATTTATTTAGGCATGAAAAAATCTTCCCTGATCGGGATGGATAAGATGTAGAATGAGAAAATGAAAATATATTTGGCCCACCCCACTGTATTTCTAGATCAGATTAAATACAACTCGTCACTGTAATAATGCTCTTTCTAGCAATTGTCTTACTTTGGTGTGGTTCAGGGCATGGTCCAGTGCTGTGAAGCTGTACTGCTGCCAAGGACACCTGTACTGTGATGCAGATAATTTCTGCCGGGATGTTGCAGAAGCGACACGTACGCACGGGGCAGGAGCAGCGGAGCCTTTTGCTTCTCCCCGGCGAAGAGCAGGGTCGGTTCCTTATGCAAAAGTGGTGTCGCCTCCGGCTGGCGCTGCCTTCTTGGCTTGCCCAGGCCCTGGGGTTGCTGCCTCTGACCTTGAGGTTTGCATTTGAGGACACTTCATCAAACCATCTGGGGAATCTAATATGATGGCTGAAATGGCGTGGTGGTAACAAGCATTGGGTTTAGGCTGTCTGTTGTTTTACTTCTTGCTGCTTACACTTAAGAATATTGCAGAGATTCACTTCAGTCATAACAGGCCACGTCAGGTTAACGTAGAAATATTTTGGAAAAAAGTAGTTTGCAGTACCATGCATTATGGTAAAAATGTCCTTTTATAGGAAATGAATAGCAGAAGAAAATGGCTGTCTTTGCAGAAGAGAACAGTACTGTAGTTCATTGCTGTGATTCTGAAAAGGGAGCCATGCCCAGTGCTCTGCCCACACCACGTTATGTGCAGGGATGGGGTCTGGGCTTCGACTGTGAGCTCAGCTGAAGATATTTCCCTGTACAAAGCCACATTGTACTAACATTGCCAGTGCCGTGTCATTTAGGGCGTTAGGATTCACAGGTGATTAAACAAGTCTTTTGTGCCTATACCGTCGTGAAGCAGGTTGTTCAGAAGTTTCAGAGTGATTGTTAAGATCCAGTATCCAGTGCTGAATATTTCGTGGCGCTGCAGAGGAGCGGCTCGGCTCTGCGGGCAGCATCGGCGCGGTGCCCCGGGGCCGCTCCCCGTTCCAGCAGCGACATCCCCAGCCCCGCTCACCGGCAGCACGAGCTGTAAGCCAGAGAGATGCAAATGCTTTGACTGCTCGGAGGCACCCACTCTACCGGGAGCACCCAAATTTTTGATGACCCACCTCCTTGGCGGGTAACGCTACCTGGAAAAGAAAGAGCAACACGACTGTTTTTACTTATTAAACATAGCTTTTAATTCAGAGAGCTTGGCACTCAGGGAGAGTTAATGAAGGTGATATAAGGATGATGTCACCTTGAATGTCACTTATCAGAATGTAGATTACTCAGAAAGCTTTTCTAATTATCTGCAAGTGTAATCAGTCTGAAGGTACAGCCCAGGTGATGGCTCAGACAATGACTTCCTCTAACGAAAATGCTGGGAGAAAGCTCCCTGCAAGATGAAGTGGCAGAAACTTAGCAGAAGGGTCTGTAAAAGAGGGATTGATCTGCTTGGAATTTAAATTGGAACAAGAGGAACTGCCCCAAAGGTTCCTGGATTCACCTTCCCAGGCAGGAGCAGCCTCGGGTGCAGAGTGTGCTGAGCAGCACCTCGATGCCTTGTCGTGAGCAAACGCGTGCCCCGGGAAGTGAGCTCCTACACCTGCCCATCCTGGGGCATCTCGGGGCCCTGGGGAAGGCTGGAGGAAGAGGAGGGGGCATGGCGGAGGGGTGATGCTCTGAGGGGACTTGCCCCATCAGCAGGATTTTATGGGACAACAATCTGGTGGCTCAGAGACCAAATCCCTTTTAAGATGTGAGGCGCATCGATCAGGAAAGGCTGTTCCAAGGACTGAGGTTCTCTCCTCTGAAAACATTACAAGGTAGGATTAAAAGTCAGTGAAGGATAGGGGTGTTTTGGGTAAAAAATAATAAAATAATAAGAAAAAAAGCAATAATGGTGTGTGTATATACACATTTACTCACTTCTAGAGCTGGGGAGAGGACAGGTCATGCTCTGATGTGCACCAGAGACTTGAGACTTGAGACAAGGTTGGTGAATGTCCTGCCTTGCATCTCGGTGTGCTTTGGATACAACTCTTGTTTAGGGAAGGAAGAAAAGGTCAGATTTCCATTTAATACAGAAAAAGGTTAAAGTAGTAACAGAATACTTATATGTTTATGCTTTAGTGTAAAGTCGTGTGGCATGTGCCATACGTCTGTTAGCATTTTCTGTAACTGCTTGTTGTATAAGGGGATTTAGCCTTTGGAGGGAAAGAAGCAATGAAGAGTGCTGAGAGCTACGCTTGGTCTGGGTTTTCTCAAAACAAATGGTGTCTGGGAAATACATCATGTACCCAAAATGCTGGAAGCCCAAGTCTGGATACCTGGGATTTGAGATGTCTCCTCAAATGGGGCACTGGTCTGTGTTTCATGACCATGGAAAAGGAGGGGCGAGGGTATACAGCCCAGATAATTTTGGCAAACCACTTAATTATCTGTGGTTTGGTTTAAAATTCTACCAGTAGCTAGGAGGTTGGTTTTTTGTTGTTTTTTTTTTGGTTGGTTGGTTGTTTTTTTCCAGTGAGAATGAGGAAACTAATATCTTGTCTTTTTTTTTTTTTTTTTTTTAAACCAGCATTCAAGATGGCTTGTACTATGAAGCCATATGTTAGGTAAAGAAAAATAATGAGAAACAAAAGAAGTAGTGAATAGCAGAGCCTGAGGATATCAGAATATTATTTATAATTTGACTACAAAAAGTGATCTAGTGCATTAATAGATTACCAAAGTGCAACTTCCTATGGAAAGAAAAATATTTTCAAAATGCTATGAA